GGAATTATCTTTTAGGAGCTTACAATTCTCTTAAGGGGGTTGATAAGTACATAATACAAGATTGTGCTACCCTTACTGTGTAGACAAAGCAATATGGATGGGCAGAAGATTGATTCATTTTATAGATTTCTTTAAAAATGTGTGTTGTCACTAAAGGAACAAGAGAAGACTACCATACCCCTCACCTAGCTGGGCCTTTTTATATTTCTCATGTGAATTTTCTTTCCCTTTTAACACCTCTTAAACTGCTCTCCTTCTGCCTCTTATTCTATACTCCCCAAAAGAGTCTTCTCTCCCTACTACATAATTCAAATTGAGTGACTCAGAAGAGAAGTCAGAAGCTTCCAATGGTCCCTTCTGTAAATATAACTGCAAGCCTAACTATCCACACATCCTTTCCTCCCACTTCCTCTTTTTTAGAAATGAATCTCTTCACCTGAGAGCTAGTTTGCATCTCTGCCTCCACAGTCATCGGTCTCCATAGGACTTTCCCTAGTTGATTATCAGTCTCCCATATCCCTCTACTCCATTTATGAGATGTTTTTCAAAACAAATGACCTTTTAAAAATGCTTGGGATATTGACTAATTAAAAAAAAAAAATACCTGTATTTGTCTTTCCTTTCTCTAGCACTGTGCTAGATCCCACATGGCTGACTCTCCAGTCCCAGACCAGGAGGCTTGAAAATCACACTGGGCATGTGTGCATGTATGCCCCAAATCCTCAGAGTAGAGTGGAGAAGAAGGGACTATGGCATGGCCATACTCCTGGGGCATGATTTCTCATCCCTCCCTCCTCACGGCTAGTGCACACATACTATAGCAAAATAATTAGTTAATTAATTAAAATAAATAAATAAATAAAATGAAAAAACCCTGTGGTCTAATGGTTAAGGGAGCAGGGCCCCACATGACTGACTACAGTTTTAATTCTTGTCCCAAGGGCTTGAAAATAAGCCAGGCACATGTGTATGCTCAAATCCCAACACAATGGATAAATGGAGGAAGAGGGACAGCAGCATGTCCACATCTCAATGGGAGGGGGTTGCTTTCTCCCTGATCTCTCTCTGGCAAACATGCATGTCATCAGGCAAAAATCAATCAATCAATCAACCAATCAATCAGATGTGATTCGCTTTCTATCTTGACTTTTCTTTTTTCTTTCTTTTTCTTAAAAAAATTTTTGAGAGATTTTTGCTATAGGGCACCTGCACTCGTGAGAGACAGTAAGTGAGAAATCACCCCCTTAGGGGGATGGCCACGCCACAATCACTTCTCCATTCTCATCTGGAGATTTTGGGCATGTACGCACACACACCTGGCATGAGTTTTATGCCACCCAGGTCCAGGACTCAAACCACAGTC